TTGGGTCAGGTGCACTTTAGTCCCCAAACTTGTTATCTTTCTTCTTTAATACTTTAAGACAGGGGTGAGGAACATTTTTTCTGCCGAGGGCCATTTGGATATTTATAACATCACTTAATATACATTTATATTTTCATTTAAAAAGCTCCTAGATTTACTGAATTTCAAGTACCACCAAATCATTTAGTGGGATTATATGATCCATGGGCTGGACATTCCTCACTCCTGCTTTAAAAAGATGTTTTGCAGCAGATTTACCTAATGAGATATGTTGTTTGATTTCTTGACTGCTGCTTTCATGAGTGTTGGTTGTAGATCCAAGAAAAATGAAGTCTGACAACTTCAGCTTTTTATCAGTTATCATGATGCTATTTATTAGTCCTATTGTGAGGACTTTTTATATCTTCTTTACATTGATTGAGGTCAGTCATACTAAAGCATGTATGTAGTCTTTCATCTTCATCATTAAGTATCTTAAGTCTTCCTTGCTTCCAGCAAGCAAACTTGTATTATCTGCATATCACGGATGGTTGATGAGTCTTCTTTCAATCCTGATATCAAGTTCTTCTTATAATCCAGCTTTTCAGATTGTTTGCTCATCATACAGATTGAATAAGTATAGTGAAATAATATAACCCTGGCACATACCTTTTCTGATTTTAAACTTTTCAGTAAGCCCTTGTTCTGCTCTAATGACTGCCTCTTGGTCTATGCACAAGTTCCTCATGAGTATAACTAAGTACGCATACTTTGCAATGTTATCCATACTTTGTCATGATCCACATAGTCGAAAGTCTTTGTTTTAGTCAGTAAAGCACAAGTAAACATCTTTCCGGTATTCTCTCTTCCAGACAAGATCCATCTGATGTCAGCAGTGATATGCCTAAATTCCATATCCTATGTTGAATTTAGCTTGAATTCTAGCAGTTCCCTGTTGTTATACTGCTGCAATCATTTGTTAATTACCGTTAGGAAAAGTTTACTTGCATGTGATATGATTTTGTTCGATGATTTCTGCATTCCAAAGAGGGTCACCTCTCTGTGGAATGAGCACTAGCTAATATGGATCTCTCCCAATTGGTTGGCCAGGCAGTTGCCTTCAAAATTCCTTGGGATTGATCCATAAATGGTTTTAAACCCCTCAGTCTAAAATGAGGTTGAGAGAAATTACTTTGGCATAATCAGATGTCAATTGAAGTCTCTTGATTAATAATACTGTACTCTTTTGCAGCTGGTCTATCACAGAGAACTTCCAGAGTTCCAAGCCGAATTCAGAGAGGACATGGAATAAGGGATATCATTGCTGATGTCAGATGGATGTTGGCTGAAAGCAGAGAATATCAGAAAGATGTCTAACTGTGCGTTATTAACTATGCAAAGGCTTTCTGTTGTGTGGATCATGATAAGCTATAGACAACATTGTAGAGAATGAATATTCTGGAACACTTATTTGTGCTCTTGAGCAATTGTGCATAGACCGAGAGGCAGTTGTTTAAACAGAACAAAGGAACACTGAATAGTTTAAAATTAGGAAAGGTGTGTGCTAGGGTTGCATGCTTTCATGATACTTATTCAATCTGTATGCTGAGCACATAATCCGAGATGCTGGATTATATGAAGAAGAACTTGATATCAGGATTAAAGAAAGACTCATTAACAACCTGCAATATGCAGATGATACAACCTTGTTTGCAGAAAGTGAAGCGGACTTAAAATACTTACTGATGAAGATCAAACACCACAGTCTTCAGTCCGGATTGCATCTCAATGTAAAGAAAATAAAAATCTTCACCACTTGAGCGTGAAATAACATCATGATAAATGGAGAAAAGAACAAGCAAATCTGTGTTGGGTGAAGTACAGCCAGAATGTTCCTTGGAATCCTAGATCAGCAGACTTTGTCTCTCATACTTCGGACATACTGTCAGCAGGGACCAGTCCCAGAGAAAGATACCATGTTTGATAAAGTGGAGGGTTGGAGAAAAGAAGACCCCCAATCAGATGGATTGGCACAGTGGCAGTAGCAATGGCTTCTAATGTAGCAACGATTGTGAGATTGGTGTAGGATCAGATAGTATTTTTTTCTGTCGTGTTTCAGGTTGCTGAGTCTTGTTGCTAACTTGATGGCATATAACAAACCAACAACTTTTGTAGCAAAACAACCATGTTTGCTTCTAACAGGGCTGCAGGCCTGGCAATTAGAACCAGAGAGGATTGTGCTGCCAACTGGTGAGCGATTCCCTTGCTGACTGCTGGGCTCCCATACTTCTCCACGCACCATCAATGGCTTTATTTTTAACAGTTCATCTATGGGAATTGCAAGGAAGAACAAGTACTTAGTCTGAGGTTCCAGACATGGTCAGAAACCTAATGAAGCAAAAGTCCATCAGGTGTTACCAGGCGCAGAAATAAGAAAGAAAAGCCTCAATATAAAAAGTGAAGCTTTAGCAAACTATTCCTAAGCTGAAAAATGATCTGGGCCACCTATGCTTCAAAAGAAGGAGCCAAGAAAGGTTGATCCAGCACCAGCAGAATAAACTGCTGCCTCCACATGTGACTTCAGGAGATTTAGCAAGACCAGTACCATTCCCATCAGGTTAAAGTTCAAAGTCATCATCCTCTTTGGCTCAGTGGTCACCTTTTGTTGTTGTTAGGTGCTGTCGAGTGGGTTCCGACCCATAGCGATCCTTTGTATAACAGAACGTAACGCTGCCCAGTCCTGCACCATCCTCACCATTGCTGATACTCTTGAGATGACTGCCGCTGCCACTGTACCAATCCATCTCATTGGGGGGGAGGGGCAGCGACGGCTGTCTTCCTGTTTTTCTACCTTCCTCCACTTTACCAAGCATGATGTCCTTCTACAAGAATTGGTCCCTCCTGATAGTATGTCTAAAGTGTGAGAGATGAAGTCTGGCCATCTTGGTTTCTATGGAGCACTCTGGTTGTATTTCTTCCAACACAGATTTGTTTGTTCTTCTGGCAGCGCATGGTATCTTTAATATTCTTCTTCAATGTCAGAATTCAAATGCAGAGTTCTTCTACGGTCTTCCTTATCCAATGTTCTAATGAAATGTCAGTCTGGGTAACACTCTAGTACCTTGTTTCTTGGCACCTATCATAGTGCTTAGTGTACAAGAAGCCCTAAATATTTATCAAATGCATGAGTCAACACTTAAATGAATGTCAAATACTTACAAAATCATTAGGGATTTATGTTCTAATTTACTAGTAAACAAAGGAAGGAGTTAAAAATAAGCAAAACCATAAATAGTAGTAAATCAAACATAAATTCTGATACTCTCTCATTCATTAATTCATTTAGCAAATATTAACATTGAATGACTGCTATGTTCAAACATTATATGATATGTTTTAAATGGAAGTCAATTCCAGTTGGCATCTATTCATTTCTGCCTCATCACAATCCCATGGTGTGTCAGAGTAGAACTGTGCTCCAAATGGTTTTCAATTGATGATGTTTTGGAAATAAATCCCCAGACTTCTCTTCTAAGTCACCTCTTGGTAGACTTGAACCACAAACCTTGGGATAGCAACTGAGCATATTAACTGCTTACGTCACACAAGGGCCTCTAAGATGAAACAGCGAATCCAATAGCAATATCTCTGTCTTCATAGAGCTTGTGCTAGTTTAATGGGAGACAGAGGCTAAACATATACACATTGCTGTGTTGCTGCTAGGAGCTGAAGAGTTGGTTCAACTCATAGTGACTTTGTGCTTTGCATATTTACATATTTAAATATATAAAAATACATTTAAAAAAAAAAAATGAAGCACTGTCCAGTCCAATGCGATCCTCACAACTGTTGTTACACATAAAAATATAAAGATACATAAACATGTATATGTATATAAACAAATAATAACAAAAGAAAAGAACAAGGAGCCATCTAAGAGTATGAAAGTAAATGTACATTTTAAGTTAGAGTATCAGGGAGTATCAAGGGAACACTTCCAAAAGTCCCACTTGTCCTGTGTAAAGTGGAAAAGAAACACGCATAGAGAAATATCGCCTCTCACAGAAGCATGCATCTGCAATGCAGCAGCTGAAAGAGCAAAGTGTGTCTGTGGGCAGTAAGCTGAGTACTCTGTTATCGAGGGAGGTTCAGGGACCCCTTATCACCCATGGAGACTCCTCAAACTGTCCATTAACCTAAAAACCAACACACCTAAACAAGTCACCACAATTAAACCTTCAAAACTTCATAACATATTACAAATACCAGGTTTTGATAAAATGTTAAGCCATGTAAACATACCAAGCAAATAATCTGTATATGAAGACAAAAGATCCACAGCAGCAAATTCTGGGATATTTGGTAATGTCACTTGGTTAACTTTATCAATTCTAGAATTCTTCTTTCCAATAAGCAGATTGATTGCCAGCACAGCTTCACTGACCTGTGATGGATGCATAAATTAGAATTCATAAGTGTAAGTTTTCTGATTCATAGATTATACATTCATTAAAGAATATAAATAAGTTGCATTCATAAGATAATATTCAATATACACTGGAAGAAAAAAAAGACACCCTGAATAATAAAATGTGATTCCTCAGCATGTGGTATATATCATACTCAAACAAATCATCACTGTTGACAATTTAATTAATGCATAAGTCACTTTAAATAGGCTACCTCACCTAGCTACGACAGATATTTGCCAAAATGTCAAATATGTGCACATGTATATCTGCCAATATTTTCATCTAAAAAAAGCTGAAACAAACACAGTCAGGTCTGGCTAATAGATATTAAAAGCACCCCATATATAAAGTACATTTCCTGTCCTTCCAAAGAAACATTATTGGCACATATTCCAAAGAATGTGAATTTTCCTTTCTCTTGTATAGCTATATTGAGTTGCCCTTTCAGCTGGTAGGCAGAGAATCCAAACATGACAGTGAAAAATAAGTTTCAACAAAAATGACACCAACCTGTGCAGCTGCCCTTATTGAAACCCAGGCCAATGAACTGTACATTTCAAATGTAGGTACCAGTGGCTCTTTAATAGAACTTGGCCTTCTGGAAGAATTCTAAACACATAGAAAATGGTTATGTAATACAGATAAAGACATCCTAGATTAATGAGAGACTGATCTTCTGAAGATGATATTTTAATGGAATATTACGGAGCCATTAAGAATAACGATGCAACTATAGTCATGAAAAGAGGTTCAAAAGGTATTCTGAAAAGACTAGTTTAAAAATGATATGCAAAGCATGATCCTACTTTTTAAGAAAATATATACATACATTGTTGTTTTTGTTAAATTCCGTCAAGTCAATTTTGACTCATATCTACCCTGTATTCCCTGTTAAATGAAAGCAGATAAAATGTATTACTTGTTATTCATATATTTTAAGAACAACTAAATTGCCCTTTACTTAAAACATATTATCTATCATGTTGTTGTTGTTAAGTGCTATCGAGTCGGTTCTGACTCATAGTGGTCCTCTACAGTTTCTGAGGTGCGGCTGTGGGTTTTGCATTTTAAACTGACCTTGAGTTCCACTGCTTTATTCTGCAGGACCACACCAGGACTCCCAAAGCTTGTGTATTATTTACATAGTACAATATATAAAATGGCATTTTAAGAAAAATCAAATGTCACTGTAATAAGAGATTTATAATTTGACTATCTTGTGAATAAAGATGTCAGAAATTAGAATATTACTTTATGAGTTTTTATATGTATAGGCTATCATCTTTCTAAAGGAAAATGTTAAAGGGACAATGTTCTCATAAAAATCTATAGGGAGGCAAAGTGAAATAATGAATGGAGGCATTTTTTACCAAGGAGCAGTAAGATAAGTACTAGACTTCTAAATGCAAGGTCTTTGGTTCAAACCCATCAGAGGCTCCTTGTAAACCCTATAGAGTGTCACAATGAGTAAAAACCAACTCAAAATAACTTGACCATAGCAATATATATGTTAACTGTTTACATCACATACATACACACACATATATGCATGAACAAATGGCAAAAAAATACCTCCATTCATTGATTATATATATTGTTGTTGTTGTTGTTGTTAAGTGCCATCGAGTCGGGTCCGACCCATAGCGACCCTGTACAGGGTTTCCGAGGGTGTAAATATTGTTATGTGCCATCAAATCAGTTCTGATTAGGCAACCCTGTATAGAGCTTCTGAGAGCAGCTGGTGGGATTGAAATGCCAACCTTGTGGTTAGGGGTTCAGTGTATATCCTATAGAATTGCACCAGGTCTCCTACACACACACAGACACGTATACATAGGCAAATGTATATATGCCTCTTCTTCTTCCTAGCCTGTTTTAGTTTGTAAGCTCCACTGAAACCTGTCCAACATGGGGGACCCTGTTGGTATTTAAAATACCAACAGCATAAGTTACAGCACTACAGCAAACACAAGCTACTACAGTATTACAAACTGACAGGTAAGTGGTGGTAAATACATACATATGCCTATGTAGATATGGAGTCCTAGTGTGGTGCTGTAGGTTAATGTGCTGGACTGCAAGGTTAGTTTGAACCACAAGGTGGGCAGTTCAAGCTCATCAGATGCTCTTTGGAAACCCTCTACAGGGTTGCTATGGGTTGGAACTGACTCATAGCAACTTAACAACAGCAATATTGATATACAGGGGTGTTATATGCATACATATGTAAATCTGTATATATACATATATATGTGTGTGTGTGTGTGTGTGTATATGTTATTATTGTTGTTGAGTGCTGTCGAGTCGGTTCTGACCAACAGTGACCTTGTATAGGGTTTCCAAGGAGCAGCTGGTGAGCTTGAACCCCTGACCTTGCAGTTCAAAAGGCTTTGCAGTCTGACCACACCAGCACCACACCAGGACTCCTCAAGTATATATAAATATATGGTGGTGGTGGTTATGTGCCGTGGAGTTGGTTCCGCTCATAGCGACCCTGTACAGGGTTTCCGAGGCTGTAAATCTTTATGGGAGCAGAAAGTCTCATCTTTCTCCTGTGGAACAGCTGGTAGTTTTGAACTGCTGACCTTGCAGTTCGCACCCTGAATCGTAACCACTATGCATGGTGGTGGTGGTTGGTGGCTGTGTGCCGTGGAGTCGTTTCCGACTCATAGCGACCCTGTACAGGGTTTCAGAGGCTGTAAATCTATATGGGAGCAGAAAGTCTCATCTTTCTCCTGCGGAACAGCTGGTAGTTTCGAACTGCTGACTTTGCGGTTCACAGCCCGATTCGTAACCACTATGCTACTAGAGCTCCTTAACCACCATGCATAGGTATATATAAATATATATATATAAGCAATTACATATATATGTGCTTATGTGTGGTGCTGCAGAATAATAATTGAACTCTTAACCTCAAGGTGGAGTCCTGGTGTGGTGCTGTGGGATAATGTGCTGGATTGCAAGGTCGGTTTGAACCGCAAGGTCGGCAGTTTTAACTCACCAGCCACTCCTCAGAAACTCTATACAGGGTCACCATGAGTTGGAACCAACTTGACAGCATTTAACAACGACAATAACTGGAAGTATAAAGAGTTATAAGTTGGGATGCTAAAAGCAAGATCAGCACTTTGGATCTACCAGTTACTCCACTGAGAAAGCTGAGGCTCTCTGTTCCAGTAAAGATTTACAGCCTCAGAAACCCTAACAAGGTCACTATGAATCAGAAGTGACTCAAAGACACTTAACAACAACAATAACAACACACACACACACATATATGTATCTATACATACATATATATGTACTTACATATATATGCATGATATATATACCCATGTGTATATGTGAATGTTGTTGCTAAGTGCTATGAAGTTGGTTCCAACTCATAGTGACCCGATACAGGGTTTCTGAGGAGCAGATGGTGGGTTTGAACTGTCGACCTTGTGGTTCAAACCAACCCTGAGGAGCAGTGCCTTATCCTACAGTGTTACATCTTTATCCTACTGTGTTACATCAACAACTAATGCTAATGATGATTGCTAACTACATGGTCAGCAGATCAAACACACCAACCACAGATCAGAAACCTTATACGGGGTCACTATGAGTAGGAATCAACTCGACAGCTTTTAACAACAACAACCAACTTCTTCAGTCTGAAATTGATCAATGTTGTAATCAAGTTGTGTTGATCATTAATGGTGATTAGAATATGAAGGTTTAAAACAAAGAGGAAGGATCAGCAGTTCGAAAATATGGCCTCGGTGATAGAAATGATAACTAGAGTTTGCATGATTAAATTTTACAGGACCAATAATTTGTTCATTGCAAATACATTTTTCCAACAACATAAATGGCAGCTGTACATGTGGACCTCACCAGATTGAATACATGAAATCAAATAGACTACATCTGTGGGAAGAGATGATAGAGAAGCTCAATATCATCAGTCCAAACAAGGCCAGTAGCTGACAGGAGCAAACAATTGCTTATATGCAAATTCATATTGAAGATAAAGAAAATTACAAAAACTCCAGAAAGCCAAAATATGGACTTGAGTATATACCACCTGAATTTAGAGACCATCTGGAGAACAGATTTCATGCATTAGACACCAATGACCTAAGATCAGAAGTGTTTGGGATGATACAAAGAACATTATACAAGAAGAAAGCAAAAGGACAGGAAACAAAGAAAAGACCAAACTGGACGCCAGAAGAGACTCTGAAAGTTGATCTTGAACATAGAGAAGCTAAAGCAACTAGAAGAAATGATAAAGTAAAAGAGCTGAATAGAAAATTTCAATGAGTAATTCGAGAAGACCAGTCAAGTTTTATAAAGCAATATGCAAAAGACCTGATATAAGAAAACCAAAAGGGAAGAACATACTCTGCATTTCTCAAGTTGAAAGAACTGAAGAAAAAAAGTCAAGCCTCAACTTGCAATACTGAATGATTCTATGGGTAAAAAAGAGCCCTGGTGTGATACTGTAGGATAAGCACTGGACTGCTAACCATAAAGTCTGTGGTTCAAATCCTCAGACTTAACAACAACAATGGTCAAAATACCAACACTTGTCTATCTGTTTATCATAACTGTGGTGGCTTACATGTTGCTCTGATTCTGGAAGCTCTGCCACCAGTATTTTAAGTACCAGCAGGGTCATCCATGGTGGACAGGTTTCCACAGAGCTGTTTATGAATGTTTAGTCACTGAAAATCTTATGAATAGCAGTGGAACATTGTTATATATAATGCTGGAAAATTAAACATTATGAATAGAAGCAGGACATTGTAGGATATAGTGTCGAAAGATGAACTCCTCAGGTTGGAAGGCACTCAAAATGCAACTATGAAAGAGGTGTTTCCTCAAAGTGGAGTTGATTGTGATGAAGCAAATGGAGTACAGCTCTCAGGACTACCATTTGCTGATGAGGCAAAATTTTGAATGAGGAGAAATAACAACAGATATCCAGTAATAAATAGAACATGGAATGCATGAGGAAAATTGTTGTTGTTGTGTGCCGTGGAGTCAGTTCCAACTCATAGCGACCCTGTACAGGGTTTCCGAGGCTGTAAATCTTTACAGGAGCAGAAAGCCTCATCTTTCTCCCACGGAACAGGTAGTAGTTTCGAACTGCTGACCTTGCAGTTCGCAGCCCAATTCGTAACCACTACGCTACCAGAGCTCCTTTGTTTGTTGTTAGGTGTCCTCAAGTCAGTTCTGACCCAGCGAATCAATGCAAAAGAGAACAAAACAATGCCTGGTCCCATGCCATCTCCACAATCATTGTTATTCTACAACCCATTGCTGCTGCTACTCTGCAAATCCATGTTGTTGAGGGTCTTCTTTTTTGCTGACCGACCACTGTACCAAAAATGATAATCTTCTCCTAATCTCCTGGTCCCTCCTGATAATATGCCCTAAGTATTAGAGGCAAAATCTCATCAAACAAGCTTCTAAAGAATATTCTGGCTGTACTTCCTCCAACAAGAATTTGTTTGTTATGGCAGTCCATGGAACTTCCAACATACTTCTCCAACACCAAAACTCAAATACATCAGTTGTTCTACAGTCTTCCTTATTCATTGTCCAATGTTCACATG